TTGGCAGAGGGCGAGTCTTGGTTTCAGGAGGCTGTGGAGTGGGTCAGTCTCTCCAGAATTTGAGATAATCACACCACACCACATCTGGCGGGACTGAGAGGGAACTCTTTAGGAATTGCACTGAATGACAACACGGGTCTATGCAGGTCTAACTACTTGTGTGAGCTAGAATTGATTGGGAGACGGCAAAAAGAAGATGCTGTCCGATGAATATCTTCACATTGTGTATTGGAAAGACTGAAGAGTGCCAGAAGCTTGGGAATATATAGATGAATCCTATTAATGGGGGGAGGGTTGATCTTAGGCTCGCAGAATTGATTAGATCCCCAATAGAGCAGGGATAGGCAACAGGTGCCCCTCCAGATGTTGGTAAACTAAAACTCCAGCAACCTTAGGAAGTAACCTCAATTGTGAGAGAGGCTGTAGTTAAGCAACATATGGAGACCGTATCCCTGCATTAGAGGCAGGTGAAAGTAGTAATTTAGGCAGGTAGACACCTTCTAAGAATGAAGACCAAGGCCAAGCTCAGCCTAGGAATATTTGGTTGGATGAGAAGACATCTCTTTCATGCCAAATTCTCCTGACCTCATCTTTCAGCAATTTAAAGAGGAAAAGCTTTAAAGTACAGTACTACTTACTAATTATTACTATTACTAATCAGTTACAGGTTGGAACTTCTCATTAACCTCTTGTAAATCACTCCGAGATCTATTAATAGATCATATTCTTCCTGATAACTGTCCTTCAACTGAGTCAACACGGACAAAGCAAGTAGGCAGTTCTGATCTTGCCAAAATAGCACAATTTGATCCTATATGTTTTTGAATTTCTCAAGAATTCTCTTTTTCTAAAGCTCACTGCTTTCAGTTCATGCTGTGTTTTCAGTAGGGCTTACTTCTAGGTTGCCATGCAGTCAGTTCTACATTTGCTTACTCAGAAGTAAGTTCTACTTTGTTCTGTGGGCTTTATCTTCAAGCAAATATGCAGGAAAATACAGCCTTAAACTGCAGATCTACACACTGAACTCACTGGGGTTTACTTCTGAGTAAATAGGCCTAGGATTCTGCCTAAGTGATTTCTTAAACATCTCAATCAGTGTTTCTCAACCTGAGCAACTGTAAGATGTGTGGACTTCAACTCCCAGAATCCCCTAGCCAGCATGCTGGCGGGGGAATTCTGGGAGTTGAAGTCCATACATCTTACAGTTGCTAAGGTTGAGCAACGCTGATCTGCATGGTCAAAGCCCTCAATGGGAGTGAAACAGCAGAGATTCCATTCATACGATATGGGAATAAGCTAGCAGTAACAACAGTGAACAGGCTTATGAGAGTCAGCAGGTTCTTCACGTACATTTTGTTCTCTGTTCCCTTCCTGTTTAAGTAATTTTGCAAACTTATGATACAATCTGAGGTGAGTGGCTTGAAACTGGTATTTAAATTTCAACAACCTTTTATTCTGCTTCCTTCTCACTCTTAAGTTTCCTGAATCAGGAAAGTGGTGGTTTCTCACCTACTTTAGCAACAAAAGTGTGATATGCGTGCTTATTTCCCAACACCTACCTGAAATAGTGCTTTTGTCTCTACATGCAGGGAGATGAAAAAGCCACAGGAGCTGTAAAGATGAGCTGATCATTTTGGGGAATTGAGGACTTAGTATGAATGGAGCAGGAATCTAATTCAGTGCATACATACATTCTTACTTTAAAAACTTTTGCATTGCAAAAGCATTATAAAGATATTATCCAATTTATAAAGTCCTCAGTCTTTAATATACAGGAAAAAATGTATTTCAAGATTTATGGGAGGAACAAAATACTGCACCTCAAATGGGTTGTTTTTATTAGTTGTAGATACCCAGGCGATACATTACAGTATTTTTAAAGAGATTTTTTAGTGACATTGTTGACTTTAGTATACACAGACTTTTGTTCCCCCTGTTGTCATCTCAGTGCAAATGGATTTTGCAGGTTTTAAAAGCTCTACAGAAATTTGCAAAAATTGTGAATCAGGAGCATCTTATGAGTTGATTACAAGGTTTATTTCACTATCACACTACCACCAAAATTACACAATAATTTTGCTACAGCCTGAGTTGTAGAGAGATTGAAATCTGAAAAAAAATTAAATCATGTAAGACACGTGTGTTATGAATGTCACTAGAGATACTACAGTAAAATAACACATGTGAGACTGTTTCAATGTTTCCAGTTCCTCATGGGCAAGCATGTTTTATTTATTTAATTAATTAATTTATCCCCGCCCATCTCCCCCTAATGGGGGACTCTGGGTGGCTCACAGCTCATTAAAACAATAAATAAATATACAATTGCATAAAACCTAAAACCTGTACAAAACAATTACTAAAAAAAAAAAGAGTCCAGGAGGCCGATGGTTCAGAGCAGCAATGCCAGGCCTCTAAGGAGCTAGCCATCCCCACACCTGATGTCTTCCCGCCCTACCCCAGGCCAGATGGCAGGGGCAGGGGCTACAGCAGAGAGTTCCTTATGTGGGATCTTAGAATCTCTTCCTTATAACAATGCTGAGGGTAAAA